GTCCCACTATAACCAGTCCACTCAGTCTCTGTCCCACTATAACCAGTGCACTCAGCCTCCCTGTGCAATTATATAACCAGTACACTCAGTCTCTGTCCCACTATAACCAGTCCACTCACCGTCACCTGTGGCTGATTAGTCCGATTTGTACTATTTAAAACAATGCAAATGTCTTGTGGATCTTACAGTGTCTAATCAGAGACTGTCAGAAGGCAGTCTATGTGAGCAAAAATAACTTAAAAACATTAGCAAATAACTCCTGACAAGCTCATTTGTTCAAAATTAAAACAAAATTGTGCAGCAGCAGCAGCTGATTTATGACACTACATGGCATAAATCACCAACTATAAATACTAACTATAAAAATTAGTATTTTCCCCAACAACAGTAAGATCCGCAGATGAATGATCCTCGAGGTCCTCATTTTCTGTCATTCAACACTGCCTTTTTGTGGATTGTATTATTGGCTATTCAAACATTGCTTGGTGTAAGAGGACATTCATTTTGCTGACTTGTTGATGAGGGTGTCAGACTGAACTGGAGCTGAATGCAGGAGTTTAGGGTCAGCCAGCTTTCAACATGTCAGCTGCTGCAGGCATTTCATCTCTTTAACTATACAATTCTCAAACTTATTCAGTAAGTGTGGTAACCAAACCGGCAAATTCCTGACAAAGTATACTCATGACACTTGGATGGATGGATAAATGTTTTCACGATATCTATATCTTGTAATCTTTCTGGAACAAAGAGTCTTCTATTCATTCTGATGCTCCTTTCGGCATTGGTCATGTTTTCTAGCTGAAGAGCTAAAGTGGCTTGAGTTCAGCCACTTTAGCTGACACATAGGGAGGTCCTGTTGTCTCATTGGTTGGATCACCATGAGTCCTAAACCTCACAGAAAGCCTTTCCCTTCCCACAGCTACATGATACCAGCTGGTTCAGACCGTCATAAAACTATTTCAACCTGTCATGTGAATAACTAAACACCTGCAGTTTTTGCCAGGAATCTTTCAAAATTAATAATTACTATTTATTAATTTATCCATCCATTATTTAAAACCACTTATCCTTTTCAGGGTCGCGGAGCCAATCCCAGCAGTCATTGGTCAAAGGCAGGGTTGACCCTGGACAGGTCTCCAAACTATTGCAGGGCTGACATTAATTATTAATTTAATAAATTGAAAATCACATGACAGAATAAAATGATGGTGGTTTTGGAATCACAAGTGAAAAGACATCTCTACAATGAAACCTTTGGCATACAGCACATTAGAATCAAGACCTTGTAACCCACAAGCGTCAAAGAAAAACTTAAAAGCAAGGAGACTAAACATGTCTGCTTTCGGTGTTAGACAATGCAGTTCATTACATCAAGCTATGAAGCATCAACAAGCTCTCAAAATCCATTCTTCAGGTGTCCACTTTACCCAAGTCCCTGTGCAGATCTCAAACACTCCACAGACCACATCCTGCTGAGCATTAAACAGGGACAGTATTTTAAAAATTATTTCATAACCCTACTCAACTGATTGAAAATGGGTTTGATCAAAACTTTGCAAATAAATAATTTGATATCACTGTTCAGTTCATGTGTTCATTCTCAACACTCGTCACCATATAGAACTCTATATAATTTAATACATCAATTATAATCCATCAGATCTGGAATGCACTGAACATTTTACAGCAACATATGAAACAGTAGAAGTTACTGCAGGTTACTACAGACATGTTCTACACAGAAAATTAAAAATAACATCAACATCAACAGAAGATGGACTCTGAACTTGACTCACAACAGCGCAACTCAAACCCTGGGATCAGCTGGATGAATACAGACTGTGATATAAACCTGAATCATCCTGACGTGAGTTTCTCAAATACATCTGCCATTGATATCATCCTAAACCAAGTCAATAAAGGGAGAGGAAACATCTCTACTAGGGAGCTCAGATATGGCTGCAGTGTGTGGGCGAGCTTTGTGTCTGTGTGTACAAAGAGTGGACAGTCTCAGAACTGTTTTATATGTGTGTGTGTGCGCATGCGTGTGTGTGTGTGTGTGTGTTGGTATGTCTGTGTGAGCTTGTGTTCTGCAGTTAGAGCTCCTCAGCCATCTGCAGCAGTGAGTTAATGGCAGCATCCTTGTTGCCCTGCTGTGCGTCCAGCACAGTGCGAACCACCTCTTTATCCAAGTTGGGGAACATGTCCTGCAGAGCCTTCAGGTCCTCCTCGCTGCACAGGGGCCCCTGGCCCCCAACAGCTGGCACGGCTGCGGGCATCGTCATGGGCACCATGCCCTGGTTGTAGACTGTCGGCACTCCTAGCAACACAGGACACACACTGCTGATGTAACCAGTTTAATGGAGCACACTCAAGGTTTGGAAATAAACATGAAGAAATGCATCAGTATCCAATGCGAAACATGTATTTTGTATTTGTAGTTTACAAGCCTAAGCTCGTCTAAACCCACAGAAAATATTTTCACATGTTTTCACAGACTGGGTGGTGTGTGTGTGTCTGACCTGCAATGGGCACATATCCTACTCCTTGCTGATACACAGAGGGCATTAGGACCACAGGCTGAGTCATCATCCCTGCTGGTAAAGACTGGTCAGAAGACACAGAGAAGATGAAGAGCTTCAGTGATTGTACTCAACATGTTTTACCAGATGATATCTTCAGGGAGCACGTTTCATTTCAACATGGGGGGGCCAAACCGGTCAATTACAACTTCTGGCCAAGTCACGTGATGGGCCCAAAAATACTTTCCCCCGCAGACTTGCATTGGGACAGAGCAGTCTGTAACCCAGCGGATAATTATTTTCAGGTAAATCAACTTCCCACTTCAAACACTTACATAGCCTTAATTTAAATCTTTAGGTCCTAAAAGTTGTAAAATATGCTAATAGCCGAATCCAGAGTTCATGTGTATGGGTCTGAGAACTAGCTGCTAGTGAAGCAAAAGATCCAGAGAATTATATATTCCAAAGTTGTTCAGAAGACATATTTTGGGCTTTAGTCACTACATTTTCTGGACTCTGGTGAATATAACCTAATAACCTAATTATTAGCAACATTAAAATGCTGAACACATGAATGCATCAATAATTACAATGTAATGATATAGGCCTACCATAAATATATTATTGGAAATGGGCCATTCAGCATAATGACTATACATACAGTAAATAAGTATTGAACACATCACCATTTTTCTCAGTAAATATATTTCTAAAGGTGCTATTGACATGAACTTTTCACCAGATGTCGGTAGCAACCCAAGTAATCCACACATACAAAGAAAACCAAACAAATAAGTTCAGAAATTAAGTTATGTGTAATAAAATGGAATGACACAGGGAAAAAGTATTGAACACGCTTACTGAAATAATTTAATACTTCGTACAAAAGCCTTTGTTGGTAATGACCGCTTCTGGAGCTGTATGGAGAAACTAGTCGCATGCATTACTCAGGTGTGATTTTGCAGAAAGCATGGTAAACTAGACGGGGTCCATGTCTCATGACGGGTCGGGAGGGTTGCCAACATCGCGGCCTGAGAACAGTCCGTCCCGGGAACAGGGTGCTCCATCAGTCCCCGCAGGGAGAGGGAGAGGGCGGAGCAAGCATTTATACTCCCGCCCCCGGGAAATGTTCATTATGAAACTATGGTGGAGTAAAATAGATTATGGCAGGCCGCCAGTGTCTAGGTAATTAATGTGAAACACTGTGGTGTGCTTTATACCTATTATTTGCTCAATTTGATGTGTCTTTTTCAAAAACGGTGTGCAAGGGCCTGTGTCCACATAGCATCTGTTTCTTAGTGCGAGTGTCTGAGGAGCATATGTGGCAGCATGCCGCCGCCTAGGGGAACAGTGCTGCAGGAGCATCTTTTTCTGACCTTTAGGTGTGGCCGCTCCGAAAGCTTTGAGATGAAAATCTCTGAACTTTTCAGAAAAGCGCTGGTGATGTCACTGTAGAAAATGGAGGAGGAGCTTGTTTTGGCCGTGTATGTCTATACTGAACTGAAAAAGATGTGGGAGTCGATGGGCCGGGTGGAGGCTGAAAGTAAGGACTTAAAAGGCTTTAAAACGCCTAATATTTATATTACTATATTTTTTATTTCTACAATTAAATATACCACTACGTAAAATCAGGGTTTATGCTGTTAAAAAAATCGTTTTCGTAAAAAGATTTCTTATGACGTTAAGATTTGAAGATTATAGAATTATGTTCCTGTTCAAAGTCACAGTACCCCGAAATATCTTACAAAAGGCCTCCAAGGTACTTACAAAACATGCAACTCAACTGTACACTACTTAGTGCTACTCAGAGCGATGTACGCTTCTTTATTGCGTGTTCAAATTGCACGTAGTTCGACACTGCAAGACACGGGCTCAGTGTTAAGTAGATCAGATTACCGTTTCTCAAAATATGCAAAGACACACAAAGATTCCTTGCTTTGCTGATATTCCCAATCAGGCTGGCAAACTCCCCCTAGCTCCACCATATGCTTGTGGAAAGCCTCGTCAGTGCAGCAAAGCTTTTCCTCCATAAAGTGTTGAGTTGCAAATTGATGTCTTTATCCAGGAGGACTTTAAAATGTACATCCACACTGACCACACTACCAGAGAACCTGTGTGCTGTCTCTCTACCTCACAGGACAAGTGGAGGACGAACACGTTTAGTCTGTCTCTACTTACAGCAAAAGACATCACTAGGTTGATCATGCCCTCCTTGTCGTCGCCCTGCCTGCCACTGAGGCTGAACCACTCGTCCACCACATTGCCCTCCCTCAAGCCTTCAGGGATGGTGACATGAGTCCACGCTATCCTGTCGTCCATGGAGAACGCTCTCTGGATGGCACGGCAGCAAAAACACATGGAAACACAAAACAAACGACATTCTCACGAGTAATACACACATGCAAAGGAAAGAGGGGCCATTGCTCTGTCATTAGCAGCAGTCTGTTGTCTGGAACAGAACATGTGTCACTTCAACCTGAATGCCATGCACAGAAGCTGTGGTTCATAGAAAAGATGTGGCTTAGTTTAAACCCAGTTACTGTAGCTCGAAGAAATACACGAGCTGCCACTAGAGGTCAGTGTCTACAACTAAACCTGCTGCACACTCCACAACTGTCTGACTTTTCCATATTCATAACATTCATAACCAGATGAAAATTATGCAATATTCATTGACAGGGCAACACAACTGCCTTATCCATTGTATCAACCACATTTATCGATTATTTGACAAACTGAGTTCATGAATTACAAAAGTCCATGACATGAAAAGATGAAAAGTGTTTCTTCCATTTGTCAGTAGACAGGTTTCCAACATCGTAATAAGCAGAAGTGATAAATAAGACATTTTGAGTTTCAATTCAGTTGTGAAAAACAATTCCCACGGCAGTTGGAATTGTCCCATGGCTCCTGTCAGGCCAGTACTGTAATGTTTTTTTTGATTATTACTGCTTGTATAAAATGTATAGCTTATTTACATGATTTAAGTAAATTAGAAAACAGGAAATTAGAAAACTGAACTGACAATCATCTAATTATCTGTGTAGAGCAGAGGTAGCCAACACGGTGCCTGGTCGCCCGCAGGGACCATGTGAGTCGCCCGCAAGGCATGTTCTAAAAATAGCACTAGTCCCCATGGAGCTCCGTCTAAAAATTGTAGTTTCTGTTCATTTTGAATCAAAAACACTTCATGTAGATTTTAAAAGGAAGAGGCCGCCGCACCGCACTAGGTTTTCAGGTTCCGAATGGCAACAACTCGTGGGTGGCGGGGGTAGAGGCGAGTCAACGCAGTACGATCGAAAAGGCCCAGACTAGAGGTTTGAACACAGGCGACCAAAGACGCTCGCGTGCCTCGGAGGGTTGGATCCCCCCTCGGCTATAGACGAGACTGGTTACTAGTTTCTTCGTGGAGAAAACGGTACCCAAAAAAAAAGCTGGTGTCGGTGACTACAGACTACAGGCCGGCATGCAGGCTTCATTGCGCAATGCAAAGCTGACCCAGATTTCCTAAAATGTGGTGATTAGTACTAATGTAACAAGATTCATTTAAAAATGTGAAAGAGTTGATTTTTTTTATCTTACATAACTGATAATTTGTATAAACATGGGACAGAGTTCATGATTTGTTCAAAAATGTTACGAAGGTAGTGGTTAGTACAAACCAAGATGTGAAGATATGACAGTTAATGATTTCCTAAAATTTTTTAGAAGTGATAATTTTTACAAAAATATAACAGGTGCGATTTTGAACAAAATACACAATCATTGTTAATAATTATTGTGAGGAATAATTAACATTCTCTTCACATATATTATTATTAAAAGGTGATCTGTGCAACTTTGTTATTCAGGAAGTTGGTATCAAACAAGTAGCCCTTCGTACTGCTCAGTACCCTTGAAGTAGCTCTCAGTTTCAAAAAGGTTGGTGAAGCCTGTGCAACCCTCTCCACCTCCTCACCTCATCAAAAATCTCCAGATAGAAGGAGTCCACCCCAGGAGGTATCGTGCACTGGATCACCTTGTTCCAGCGCGGGTTCTTGGCTCCGTTGTGAGCAGTTGGTGTTTCGTAGACTGCGTAGCCCAGTCGAATCCGACAGTACGGATCCATCCGAGTCATACCGTAGTTTTTAGCCAACTTGGCCTTTACAGAAACACAGACAAGGTGGTTTCAGTTAGGTGATACATTCCATTTGGCTACTGTCACAGTTCAACTTGCCTGTGGATGGTGGCATTAGGGATGTCAGGATTAACCTGTGAAAAGGAACCTGGAGAGTCACATTGTTTGTGCGTGCGGTGATACCTCCTCTTGTGCAAGTCTCGTAACATGTTTGTTTTGTGTCTGAGCGAGTCGTGCCACTCACCTGAAGTGCTATGAAAAAGATGGAACCAACATTCCAGCCTTATAATCCTCCAAAGAAAGTGCCTTAAATCTCCAGTGTGGGAGCATTTTGGACATCTACAAATGCACCAATATCAATACTGATATAGGATATTGGTCCGATAACGACTCAAATCGCTGAATCAAGTATTGTGATGAAAGTTTTAATAAATAACAAATCAGTACATTTATATGTATTTTTTTACATTCAGTTTTACAAATGTAGTAAAGAAATATTGAAGTTAAGCTTTAAATCAAGCCTGATGTTTCCTCACACGTAAAACAATGATCCCAGTCAGCTCTACACATTGAGGCATACAGCTTAACACTGGTACCGGGTCGGTACTCTGTATCGGCTGATACCCAAAATCCAGGTGTTGCCATCAGTATCGGGACAAAAAAAGTTCAATCAGTGCTTCCCATCCTATAAAATGACCAGGGGTAGTGGTGTAATGGACCGTAGGTTTGATCAGTCAGGTCTGTACGGATCATTCGGCACGCAAGGGAACACAGACTAATTACAGTTTAACCATCATAGCAGGAAGTAAAGTTTTACTGTAGATGATTATCAGGCAATTTTCAGTAAAAATGTGCGATCGGGAGATTGCATATGTTTTATTGCTTTCTAGTCACCAATACCTGATAATTCCACAAAGTTAACAACAAATCCGTGTTGAAATTGGCAGGAGGAGACCAGTATACCATCATCCATATTAGTACAAATATTCAAATAAGACACAGTTGTATTTCTAATAGCAAAGCTGAGGTATGCTTACCTGGACCACAGTAATGCTGAGTCGCCCTACGGTGCCTATTGAGCCTCCAAACTGCAGCTGCCTGGCTGCCTGAGCATCCAGCTGGACCTGCTGCTGCAGCTGTGTGGGAGTGATCCGAAGGAACTCCTGAGGAAGCTCCCCGATATACACCTGAATGCACATATAAAGACATACAGGGATTTAGACTGACAATGCTAAGAGACAGAGGAACAGTTCAAACGCGATGTACCTTGATAACTGCACGTATGAAATTAGGGCTGAAAATGCTACATGTGACTACAATAAATAAATAAAAGCATTAAACACCTGTTTAAACCTCCCTAAAGACATGACCTGAAGTAACTGTGGGGAACACTACATCAGGAAAACATCCTGAACAAGTGGCAACAAACATCTTCAGCTGTCCAAACCACTCACGGGTACAAGGTCCTCGATGAGCCACACAGTGTATTTGGCATATCGCAAAAGATAGATGAACAATTAACACAGGGACTCAGGACTGAACTGGGAAAATGTATTATATATTTCACTGGGTGATTAAGCTACAGCAGGATATTAAGATGAAACAAAGCAACCTTGGCCTCACGTTTGTTTTTCCATGCTGGCCTGAGGTCAGTACATCAGAGTACTGATTGCAGAAAGCAGGAAGTGTGTCTGTTGTGTTAATGCTAACTAGTAATAACTCATCACAATCATTCATGTAGCCTGTTGCAGCAAGACAGAAACGTGTACAGCAAATTATGCATATGAAAAACGCGGCCTACTTTTATTCATGTAGAAATAACTGATATGTTTCAAGCAGACAGTCTTCAGACACCTGCATTTAATAGGCAATTCGTGATGAAATATCACCACGTCTTAATTGGTGAGATTAAAAAAGGTAATTGGCCAAATATGTGGTGTAAGTGTCTGGACACATCCAGGGGCTCACACCTGATCTGAGGGTGGGACTACACATCTATAATGGAATAAGCACAGTTACAGGACACTAAGGGTGGGGGAAAAAAATCGATACAGCATAGTATCAATACACGGAAGCCAAGTATCGATCTTTTATTATATGAACTATCAACTTTTTGGTAGTAGAAAAAAAAAATTTGCTTTTTCAGTCCACTAGATGGTGCCGAGTTGTTTTCTGGTGAGGTCAGCAGAGGTGCCGGGTCAGCATGATTGGTAGGAAGTTGGTCAAAACAAAGATAGAGACATCGGAGAAAGAAATCAGAAATGCACCGTCCGCGTTTAAATCAGACGTCTGGACTTATTTTGGATTTTTTAACAAGGAAGGGAAGAAGGACATGAATATGACACCGTCGCTGCGTTTTTTCACCGACGCAGCCGTGCCCAAGCTCTACAGAGAAGTGAAGCTTAAAGGAAGGAAGATTGAGGAATCTTTGAGTACAGCAGAAAGAGTTGCATTAATTTGCGATGCGTGGACGTCAAGCGCAGTGGATTCCTATGTGACTATAACAGCACAATATCTCACAGAGGACTGGCAACTGCTGTCTCACATTTTCTCCAAACTAGAGCAGTAAGTCACAGCGGGGCAAACATTACAGACCTTCTGCAAAATGCAGCACAAGAATTGGGGATTGCCGACAAAAACCTGGTGGTTGTAACCGACAACGCTTCTAACATGGGCGTTGCCCTTCAGTTAGCGGGATTCCTGCAAGTGAAGTGTTTCGCTCACACGCTCAATCTGGCCTCACAACGGGTGTTAAATCTGCCAACAGTAGCCAGGCTCATGGGGAGAGAGCGTCGCATAACTGGCTCTCTGCCCTTGACGTCCACGCATCGCATGTTATACTGAGTTATATAACTCCGATATCCTACTTATATAAGTTATAGACACGTTTGCATTCAGTTAAGTTGGACTATGTAGTAATACAAACAGTTCAGTTTGTCAGGTTCATGCAACATTTATGACATTGTTGGTCAGTCTGTCTGCTTGACAATCCTATTTTGCTGCAATAAAAATGATTGAAGTGAGATGAACAGACTGAAAACTTTATGTTATTAGATAAAACATCTTTGGGGACATAATTTGAAGTTGAAAAAAGTAATAAATCGCAATATATGTTATCGCAATACTAAATGTTGCAAAATATCGAAGTATCGTGAAAATATCGTATCGCGGGACCTCTGGTAATTCCCACCCCTACAGGACACTGGAACACGGCAGTCTTTAGTCTAACGGTACTTCTCAAGTCACTCTTATGCCATGTTCACACCAAATTCGCGTCATTCGCGCCGCCGGTCTCGCCGGGGACTATTTGTGTTCATTCTCGTGAATCGCGCGAATCGTGCTGGAAGGCGCCGGAGAAGGGGCGTGGCTTATCACCCTGAAGGCCGTTCAACTGTCTGCCATTAACCATGGAAAAAATAACCTATATTTCTGCTTAGTACGTGTTGTGGAAGTCACAGATATCCCGGGAAACTAAACGCTGTCATGTCTGGGTTCATAACATTGTCCAGAGGAGCTCCGTGGATTTTATTGAGGTGTAATCACTGTGTCTAGCAAGCCACACGTCGCTGTTTACTACAAAATAAAGCTGTATGAACACAAAATAAACTGATTTGGCTGTGATTCAACGGCAATAAACCGACAAAAAGGGACTCTGAAATAACTACGTAATGATGCCGATTTGTACTTTTCTCAATGAAGCTCGGATCGATCGGTGCTAGGCTATGCTAACATTGTAGCAGCTCCACCAACACTCCGAATAACGTCATCTAGACGTAAATACGGCAGCGTCTATTCATTGTTTGTACCATATGGTTTACACACACACATAGTTTGGTCCGGTCTCTATTGATATGAGGTATCGTAGAGCTCTGGGTGAACACAGACGGCTACAGTATTTATTCCCTGATTCAACAACGGCAGGACGTCAGTGATGACAGGAGAAACATCTCAACGCTGATAGGCTATCGCGCCACAGCGTTAAAAAAATTCAACTCACGCGTTTGGGGCGATTTGGCGTTTGACGCGAATTCGCGTCAAATCGCGCCATCGCAAATTCGCGTCACTCCAGTCTCATCGCGTCTGTGCATATACTTACTGCGGTCAAGTCAGCAGACACTCAGATCTCCGTGGTCAACTCAGCAGACACTTCAATTGTAGTGCAACTATACGCTGAAACTTACGGTAAACGCAACCAAACGGCACAGAACGGGAGCGAGCGAAGGATTTTGCAAAGTTAGCGGAAAGATTAACGTGAAAACGTCCGGTTTTCTACAGACGAACATCCGGTTTTCAAAATAAGATGCCAACAAAGTATACATATTGCATAATGGAATGAGATTAAATGAATTATATTCCAATAAGTATAAAAAAATGATACCATCATCTCGTGAGTTAAAGGGAAAATACACCTAAATTGTGTGTAAAGTGTATTTATTCTTTGATTTGAGGGTTGCTGGAAATGAATAATACCTGACTGACAGTCAATTAAGATGTTTTACGAAGCAAAAACTCTGAACTGAATTTATATCTTCAAATGGCAAATTTCTGAAGTTTTTAAGGTGCTATGAAAATGTTTTTCTCAATAATTCCCCACAATGACTAATGCATATATGTTCAGGACAAAAAAAGGCTAATATCACAATATTTGAGCTGCTACAAAAATATTTTTCTCAATATTTCCATACAATGACTGATGTATATGTAATCAAGGCATCGTTGACTCCACCCATAGAGAAAATAAGACATTTTGACTGTACCAATTAAGAGATATTTCAAAGTAAAACTCATACATTTGAATCGAGAAAATATCTAATAAATGGATATTTGAAGTGTAATAAAATGTATTTTCTCAATAAGTCCAGACAATGACTGATATACATGTGTTGAGGACATCGTTGACTCCACCCATACTGAAAATTAGACATTTTTACTGTACCAATTAGGAGATATTTCAAATTAAAGCTCATACATTTGAATCGAGAAAATATCTAATAAATGGATATTTGAAGTGTAATAAAAACAGTTCTCTCAATAAGTCCAGACAATGACTGACATGTATGTGTTGAGGACATCGTTGACTCCACCCACACTGAAAATTAGACATTTTTACTGTACCAATTAAGAGATATTTCAAAGTAAAACTCATACATTTGAACTGAGAAAACGTCTAATAACTGAATATTTGAAGTGTAATAAAAAGTATTTTCTCAATAAGTCCAGACAATGACTGATATACATGTGTTGAG